TGCAATTTATTAGACCTGTTTGTTAGTAAACATAGATATAACTTTAAAAATAATAGCAAAGAATATTGTTGCTTTTGTAGTTTTTGAAATAGAAAGTAAAAATGATTATTTATGAAAATAAAACCAAATTTGATAAATGTTTTTGAAATTTTTTTTTTTTTAATATGTGTATAATTATCTAAATTAAATATATTTTATAGTTTTCATATACCAAAATTTCTAAAAAGTTTGGTGAGAAATTTGGTAAATTCTATTATAATGGCAGTTACACCAGTATGACTGTTGGGTTATAAAGCATTTGTATAAATATGGCAGTATGTAAAGAAATGCAAACTGACAAATTAGGCAGTGCAAATACTAGATAAGTCCTTGTGACTATATAAATCCATTAAAATTAGATAACAAGAAATCTATTTGAAAAGACCTAAGTAGAAAGATAACCAGATCTTTGACAACCTTACTGTAAAGGCTAGCTTAAGAAAACAGATACCAAGATTGTAATACCTGATTGTAATAGCCAGACAGACAAGAACCTTTGGGTTGGGAGTCTTAGAGATACCACCAATTAGGTCACTAAAATGAATTAAAAAAAAAGAATATTAGGCTAACCTGATATACTGATGAACTGATCATAGTTCTACATAGACTATTTAAATTGGAAGTTTGGTAAAAAGGTAGGTAAAAAGGCAGGTAAAAAGGTAGGAATATACTAAAATACCAGGATTATACTATGAAATAGATACTAGAGTCTAAGTGAACTCTATAAGAGCATAGTGGTTTAATGGTTAAACTCTAATTGCAAGTGTTGGTTCTGCTATAATAATATTTAGATCAGTTATAAAAATAAGTACAAAAGACTCTAGAAGGTTTATTTTGAGAATAAAATAGTTCTAAGGTTGAGATATGATCTGAATATCAGATATGACTCAGTAAAGTTAACAGGTTTGCAAGTTCAGAGAGCTTAAAATAAAATATCCAAATAGAGGTGTTAGATATAGCAATTGATAGAGAACTTTCAGACAAACTTTTTAAATAAGTAATATAGAAAAGTTATATGTATAGCCAATTGTAGGCTCTTTCTATAATTATATACTGAGCTACATTTACTATTATTAAATAAAGTCAAAAAACTCAAGAGGTCATTTTAATACACAAAAAAAAAAATAGTTTACTGTATCTTGCTGTATAAACTACTATAATAATAGTAAATTTTCATGATAATAAACTTAAGTTTAATATTTAGATTTAATTTAAAGTAAAAAATAAGAGACTCAGATTAATAATGTAATTTACTTTAAATTAGCATATATAATATTTTTATGTTTTATATATTTTCATATATAAAATCTTTTTAGTAATAGACTTCTGCTTTACAAAACTTGGTCAGTTTTTTAATATATTTAAAGTAAGAGATCACAGAGTTTATATAATAGAATATGACCATTGTTTGAAATTAATAAACTAATTAATTATATAAGTTTATAAGATTACAAATTTAGTAAACTAATTGATTAATTGATTTATAATTTATATCTTTGCCTAAAGATGCATTAAGAAATGATTTTGAATATAATACAAAAACACTTTCTTTGACTTATATTTACTTATACTAATTGATAACTAGAAAAATGTTTTGTCATCAGAAAATATAAGACAAAGTGTCATAAAGAAGATATACTAGTTTTGTGTTACAAATTTATTGCAACTACTATAGGCTTACTTCTGGACAAACTGATATTCTTTACAATAATAATACTTGTAAACACAATCAGCTAAACCTATTATTTTCTTTAGCAAAATCACAATAAAAATTAAGGCATATTGAAGTGTTCTTCAGCAGTGTTACCTATATTACTTTAATTAGTCTAGACTAGATTTATTTCTTTGTATACTTTTTAAAGAAGTAGTTCTAGCTCAGAAAGAATAATTCTCTTAAGTTTTAAGTAATATAGTAAAGCTATAATAGTGAAAAAACTTTAAAAAGAAGTAAAATTATAGTAATATAACTGAAAAACAATAAAAAAGATTTATAGTAATAAATTTAATAAAGACAAAAAAAAATTAAACATTAGTACAAGTATAGTAGAACAAGTTAGGTTATACTTTACTAATATCATTAGATAAATTTGTAATTGTCTTAGTTTTATTAATAATCAGTTTCTATTATATAAACATTTAACATATAAAGTTGTAAATCTGCTTAATGAAAATTATCAAAAACTGATCAGAAGTAATTTTAAACATCATATTATATCATCATTCCTTGTTATAAAGAATTTAATAAATAATAAATTCATAACTAGTATTTTTCTCATACCATCTACAGTATCTGTTAAAGTTTTTGAAGATTATAATATTGAAAATTTATTTAATAATATTAAAAATCAAGATGATGCTTATATCTTTGTTGAATTAAACTAAACCTTGTTTGAACAAGCATTTAAACAAACCTATACTAAAAAATTAGCCAACAATTGGAAGTATGTTCAAATAGTTATAAAAAGTAATAAATTCTTGAAAATAAAGAAAGAAGTATAAACAGTAAAGTGAAAGAACATCGACTAGCTACTTGGACTTCAGAGAATAGAAAACCATATTTGATGTATTTATTATTTTCAGAAAAGGTGAATAACCATGATCAGAATGATAAAAATGATTAGTGCGTAATAACTATAAAAACTATAACAATGCACTTGTATTTTTTTTAATTATTTATCTTAAACCTTTGAAAATATGTATTTGTACATAATATTATAAATAAGATTCATAATATAATATAATAGATAGGTTTTGAGTCTTTTTATATAGATTCTACAAATTTCTCTTAATAAATTTTACAAGTTAGAAGAATTTTTAACTTAAAACAAAAAATATTAAATTCACTTGATTGAGTTGAATTGATATTTTTTTTTTGAATTTATCTTAACATTGGAATTAAAATTGTCATGGTCGAATGTTCATTACATTACGTTACGGTCATACAGCATAAAAATTTTTTATCATATTGAAATGTCTAGTTCTGATTTGTCAGGCAGAACTGCGGCAGTGGCGTAACCAGAAACGGTCTGTTACACTAGTTAGAGTAGTACTTGAACTTTGAAAGCTGTACCAAACAAGCCTAGTTCATCATTAGTTATCTGTTAAATACAGTAATAAATAACCAAAATAATAGTTATGTTACTCACTTCGCAAAAAAATTTAATGCGTATATTCTGAATTTTAAAATTTTAAATTCATTGTGATTTCTATTTTGCCTTGACTTTGTTTCGATTTTGCATAATATTTCGTATTTTTTATTCTTTTAAACCTTACGATTTGATTGGCTAAATAACATGTGCAATACTCCAATTATATTCAATCTGACGATCGTGATCGACAACCAATCAAAACAAATTTCGTAATGTAGTAATACGACGCGTAAACTATTTTCACGGGCAATTTGGCAAATATGTACTCCGTTCAAACAATTAATTTTAACTATGAAGAACTACGGAAAAAACTCGACTCGTTTGAAGATATTAATAGTTATGTAGATAATGTCAAGAAAACTTTGATATTAAAAAAACAACAATGGCAAAATACCCTTGCATCAGAAAAAAGTATAATCAATTTTTTTTTAGCTACATTTCTTTAAAAGATTTCTAAATGAATTCGTGTGATTAGGTAACATAACACGCCATAATGAAGAAATAAAATCGTTTGAGAAAAATCAAAAGAGTTTGATTGCAAGTGAGGCTAAATTTATTCAAGATAAATCGTAATATTAATAATTGGAGAATCATGAATTAACATTTCAGTGAATTCATTAAATTTTTTTTTAAGCTTTGGACAGAGAAAAAAAAGAAATTCACAAGTTGCAAACAGAAGTCTCAAATCTGAAAATTGATGAGAACACGATAATCGAACGTAAAAATTTTCTGGTGATGCAAATAGACGCCATGAAAAAAGAAATCCAAAAACAACGCGATTGTAAAGTTCTTTACAACATTTATTATTGGAATATTTAAATTTAAAATCACTTACATGGCTGAACGAAATTTCTGAATAACCAAACATTTTTTATAATAGCCATCGTAGCAAAGCAAATATCATTGGAAGCGCAACTCTCAAAAAATGAACCGGAATTAAAGCGGTTTGCAGATCGCTTGGCTTTTACAATGGAAGGAGCGCGAGGTATGACATTTTTATAATTCTGATGATGAGATTATGATTATTTATGTTATTTATATGGATTGCAGATGATGCGATTATTTTCTCATTCACATGTATCTATGAGAATGATTCATCGCAACCATGTTCATTCACTCTTGATGTCGGAGAATCAATTTACACAGGTTTGAAAATATATATAATAAGTTTTAGAATCGTCACGAAATTGAGTTTAATCACATTTCATGTTTAATAGTACTCGAATGTAATCCACCTCTAGATCAGATAGAAGAGTTAGTGGCGCAGTTAAATGAATCACGTGATTTTTATACTTTTGTGAAGAGAATGAGACATGCTTTCCGAAAACAAGTTCAGTGATAAAAATGAGCATAAATGATTAGGGTGTACAACATTAGCATAATTACAAACATAGTGCAGGTGATATAGTGATGATCACTAATCGAGATTTTTTATAATAAAAAATTTTTTGATCGAAATTTACTATTTGAATATTATAAAAAATATCTCTTAATTCCTCGCTTAATATCTAATACTGTTTAATTCCATAAAAGAAAAGTATTTAATAAAGGGTGTCTTTACATCGTAACAACGTTAAAATTTTTGTTTTGCTAACAAAATAATTTTTTTTTATAGGTATGAACTTTATATACATGGGTAAGATTTAGTTACATGATGTTATACGAAAAGATAATGATTTAAATCAACATTTATTCTAATAAGTATTTAACAAATTTTAGTAAGTGAATAAATTATTTAGATCGCAGCAAAACAGTATTGATGAATACACATTAATAATAATTTTAGAAATAATTATGTTAAATGTAATATAATTTATAACAATTTTTTGAACTTGAAAGTTAAATGTTTAATTTAATATTATTTAGAAAAAAATTTTTAAAAATTAATATATTGCTATTATAAATGTAATTTGAAGAAAAATTATATTTAAATTTTTTTATTTTATTTATTTATTAAGACAAATGTTTGCATTAGTTATTACTTTTATTTGTGTTTTAGTTAATGTATCACATATAACTTGTACAAAGTAAGTGTGCAACTAGTTATATATTCAATTTTTGGTTACCTATTTAAGTAGTTCACCTACAGGTTCTACATTAGTTACTATATCTATAATCTACTAGAAGATTATTTATTTAAACATCCTAATCTTTATACTGCATCTAGGTAAATAGTTATCTAATTTCTGTATAATTAAATGTTATCTAATCTAACATTTAATTTTCTTTCTGTATATCTATTAAGTTATTACTTATTTCAAAACATAAGTTTTTGCCTATTTAATTCTTCTATATTAGTATCTGTTTTCTTGATTTAGGTTTTATAATAGTACTATCAAAAATCTATATTACTTTTTTATTCAAGTTTTTTCAAGTGAGTTTTGGTTTTTTTTTAGTTTATAGATTTATATAGTTACAAAAACTTATTTTGAATTTGCACTATCTGGTACTGATTTGCATTCTTTTATATAACTAAAATTATATAAATATTTTATAATCAGTTAATTATATTATTATAATCATAGTTACAAATATTTTATTTTAATTAATCAACAGAATACTATTGTTATAATACAAATATTATATAGATAATTGTTTAAATTTTTTATTATCAGTAAATTTTGAACTCACAACCTACTATTTAAAGGTTGACAACTTATCTATTTTACAAATTGTTATATTTCTAATTATATTTTAATTACAAATTCATCACCTAATAAGCTAAAAATAATTAACATTAATATGAAAATACAATGTGCATTTTATTAAAAAAAATTCACAGTTGTAAATACTAAAACTAATACTTATATATGTAATAAACTATGAACAACTTGATTTACAAAAGTATTCATTTGTTTGTAGAAAATGAAATATGTTCAGAGCTACATTATAGTCCTTATGTTCATAACTAGTGATCATTATGATCATCTAATAGTAAAGATAATATTTCTAATTCTGTTTTATATAAACTTTATATGTATATTAGTTTTATAATTAATCAACATCAATTTTATCTAAAAGTAGTTCAAAATAATAAAAATTAATTGCAATCTGTGTTTGTTTGTTTTAGTGATAATAAAACAAATAAGATTTGTTTAACACCATCTCAAGCTATTAACAGCATTTATTATATGATTTTTGGAACAAAAACAGCATACTCAGAGCCTGCAATTCTTAGACTTAATAACAAAAAAATAGGTGAAAAATTGTTAATTAGTGTATTATTTAGGCCTATTTTTTTAAATATTAAAAATCATGTTGTAGTAGTATCAGAAAATAGGATACCAAAAATTTATATTATTAATATTAACAAAAAAGAACAACAAAACTTTTGTTTTACAAAAAATAAATAATAATATATATACTCTAGATTTTTATAAAAATGATCAAGTTTTATAGCATTTTAAGAGTTAATCTGCTAATAATGTATAGTTACAAGCCAGAATTAAAATGAATTTGATGATAAAACACTATATAGCTTAAATTACTTTGTTATTTAATATACTATTCAAACTAAGTTTGCAAAATCTAATTCTAGTATGATTTGCACTTCACAAGATTGGAATGATTCTTGTACAATAGAAATTATATTTGAACAACAGATAAGAAACTGAAAAATCGCAACTAGCTCATTAGTAAATTGGCAATATTTGTTTTTTACTTGGATTTATTAAGAAAATTTAATTTATTATGCATTTATCATAATATATCCACCTACTTATAAACTAAATAAGATTAAATTTTGTGCTTGAAAAGCAATGTTATATATATATAGATGTACTGATATAACATCATATCCTAAATCAAAAAATAAAAAAGGATTTTGAAGTCGATCAGAAGATTCTATCATTAATAAAGCCAATTTGAAATTATTATATAATCTTGAATATTTACAAGTTGATTTAGAGGATTTGGAAAATTTAGAGAATTCAGAAAATTCAGATGATTTAGAAAATTCAAATAGTTTAGAAGGCACCTTCTGAAGTAGTTTTTGAAATGCACTAATGTCAAATAAACATAGCCAAAATAAAAAAACATAAATTTTATTTATTATAACAGATCAATATATATATAAATTGCTTAGAAAAAAACTTCAAGTTAGTTCATAAATTAAAATTTGAAATTAATATTACTAACTATTTTTTTTTTAATAGAAAATTATCAGAGTTGCAAAAACATTGTTTTTAATATTGCTCTTAATCCACCTAATCTGTCTTTATTAACTTATTCAAAAAAAAAAAATATGAGTTAAAAAAGTATAAGTTTTCAAGATATGCAGTATCTGCAAATCACTTTTTTTTTTATTTTAGCTTAAGACTATACTTTTAATTTACTTTGGAACTTACAATAATAAGTAAAATTCTTCCAATAGCTAATGAAGGTTTGTCTAAATGCTATTTGGAAAATTTGTAAAATAGATACTAATTTTGTTAAAGCAGATCAATAAAAATAGATTGAATAGTCAAAAACAGATTTACTAATTTTTTTTATTACATAACTATCAGAATACATATATACAGTATTGGCAATTTTACTGACCAAACTAAATTTGTTTTCAGACAAAAAAACATATGAATTTGACCAAATTAGCTGTTTTTTGGCTAGCCAAAAATATGTTTGATCAGTAAAATTGCCAATACTATATATATATATACTATAAAATTGGTTAATAACATAGATATTCTGATATATAAATAAATAGTAAAACCAATTAGAAGTGATAATAAAATTAGTAAATCTATTAAAAACAATGTTTTTGCAAGTCTCAAAATCAATAACAAGTAACACTTTTCAATAGCTAATAAAAACTTTTAGAAATTTGTTAAGGCAAATTAATAAAATAGATCAAATAATTAAACTATTTTATTTCAGAGTTAAAAAAAAATATTAGAAATAATTAAGATTAAAATTTTGTGATTCAAAATATTAAAATTTGAAAATAAAAAAAGTATATAGAGACCTTATTTTATATAAAATTCAAATATTTTAATAATAAAGAATTATTAATTCGAACCTATTTGAAAATAAATTAAACTTTGTTAGCTTATTAGTTTTAAAATAAAATGTCATAATTTTAACCCAAATTTAAATTCTCAAATTTTTACTTCAAACCCTTTAATATTATAATTAGATTAGTTCATATGCAATAGAACTTGCATATAAATATTCTTAACTGAATAGGCCTAATGCACCACAAATTAAAGACACAAAAAAATCTATTTAAAAAATAACTGAAATTAAAGAGATGCAATTTTTAGCTTTTTTTTAAGATAAAAATAATGTTGCTCAAAGTTCTTATCAAATTGATGCAAAAATCAGAATTTCTATTTTATATATGCAAAATTAAAAAGAAGCTTTATGGACAAAATTTAATGAAACATATCCAAATAGAATGTGACAAACTTCCTTTATAACCTATTTAGTCAATTGTAGTTATATTCAATATTGTAAAGATTTGAGTAGGCTGTGCATTATATACAATGAATACAGATTTTAAGTATTTAAAAATTTGTTAGCCCTTGTACAGCAAATATTTATAACAAAAGAAACTTTAGTAAGTATATACTAATATCTGTAATAAATCATATAATAATAAATTTTTGTTAAGTACAAATAGTTAGCAATAATATATTATATAACAGCATATATAACTAGTAATTGTTCTCTTAAGTCTATGACTGAATTTTGTATTATCATATTCATATATAAAAAGATTCAATAATATTACAAATTGAAAACTTATATCACTATCTCAAAAAAAAATTTGAATGCTATTTAAAAGTTGAATCAGACAGAATACCAGTTTATGATAATTGCATCAATTATTGTTTATCATTTGCATTTGGAAAATGCTTAAACCTACACTATTTGTATTGTCAAAAATGTTCAGAATTTCTTATTTTTTTTTGATTTTTTTAAAAAAAATAGTAGTGACAAATATCACTTTTAATTATTAGAAATGCAAGAAAAGTTGAAATACTTTCTTGCACACTATGTCTGAAAATATTAACTAAATAAACAATATAAAACATCATTAGTAAGTTTTAATTCAAAAAATGCAATTATGATCACAGATTACAAAATAAAAATTCTTTTAAAAACAGCACAAGAAATAAAGCAAGGATTTTTTGGCAAAAAAGATTAAACATTATATATGATCTTGGTAATAACCAAAAATAGTATGGATTTTTTGAATATTAGTGCCTATGATCATTGGTTCACAGATACAAAACAAGATGCTTGGTTTACTGCATCTTGTTTTGAAGCAGTATTTAACAAATTGATAAGAAACTAAAGTAGATAAAAGTAATTTCAAACAATAGACTATACTATCATAATAGTAAGCTAATGATAATAGTGGCCTATTAGTTTGATTGGTACAATATTAAGGTTTGTGAATGGCTATTTCTAGAGCCTGGCAAAGCAAAGACTACAATTGATTCACATTATGCAGCAATAAGTTTTTATTTATAAAAACAAAAAAAAATTATAATAATTAAAATCATACTTTTATTTTATAATTATTTATTTAGATAGCACATGCTATTAAATGATATATTTGCATTGGATGTAATTTAGTAGAAGAATTTAATATTATAACTATTACAAAAAATTTGACAGAAACATATTTAGCAAATATTGAATCAAATTGAAATTAAAAAAAAATTAAAGTAAGAATTTAATGACTAAAAAAAAAAAAAAAAACTATGTATAGAAACTATTGCAGAAATATCTAAGTATAATTTTTGGTAATGGCCAACTGTGGACCTATTAGCAGGATACATTGTGGCATGCCTATTGCCACACTTTGAAGCTTCAGATCATTTTTCTTCTGCTATGATTACTAACTTGTATAATAAAAAACTTTCTTGTCTAAAACCAAAATTATAAACATATATAGAGCCTAAATATAAATAGAAAATGGCTTTACCAAAACTCCAAGATAAGAAAATATTATACATGAATTATTAATAAAAATATCCTAAACTGTTGAGTATTAGCAGAAACTTTATTTTCACTTGTATATATACAGATCAGAGTATTTTTACTAAATATTTCATAATCTTGATATAGTAGTTAGAAATTTTATCAATTCTTACATAAAATTTTATATACAAAAAACAAAAACCTAGACAAAATAAAGACAGAAAATATTAAGACAATAGGTAATAATAACATATTTTGTTATAATTTGTTTATTTGAATTTAAAATTATATAAATATTATATATATAAAAATAAATTTTCTAGATATTACAAAAAATAATGATACAAAGAAGGGTAAATATAACAATTAATATCTAAGATATATTTATAATTCTTCTATTAAGCAAAAATATTGAATAAATATAAAGCAAAGTACTTACATAATTATGGAACTAGTTGACTTTTCTTGGAATAAAGAATGGGCATTGCATAAAAATGCAGCATATGGTAATCAAGATGGAGATAAATGAATAACAAATACCATTAAAAAAATGCTTGAACAAATGTACTTATCGGGAAATGTTCATGCAAAAGATCAAATAATAGCTAAAGAGATGCATAATAGGTTGAAAGAATTCACTGATAATAGTAAGTTAGAACAGAATGAAGTACTAAAAGCTTTAATGATTTAAGAATAAATATCACAGTATTATAAAATGTTCATGATACAGACAACACAAATAGTACTATATTCTAATTTAGAAGAGAACATTTAAATAATTAAAATAAAAAAAATAATAGATGATATAAAAATAGAACTTGCTGTGTTTAATCTAATCTTTTCATATTTGTTTACTATCTAGATTTTGATCTTTCTTCTTCTTCTATCTTGCCATTTTTTAGTTATACAATAAGCTAAAAAATAAAAGTTTGATAAAATGATTTCATAATGACAAAAATTAAAAAAAATTAATTACTAGATAAAAATTGTCTATTTGAAATTTTCAAATCATATTCTAAATAAAATTGATCCTTATATTTAGAACCTAAAATGCCACTTCATGACAAATAAAACTTGTCAGCAAAAGGTTATTACTTCTAGATTTTTTTTAAAAGTCACTATTTAGATTCTGATATGTCATATAAAGATGGCATTAACTTTATATACTAGTCATATAATCACATTATCTTTGAATACAAAAAAATTATTGAGCTGTTTTTTGTAATAATCTGCATCATATCTTATTAGTAAATTGATTATCATTCTGAAGTATTATATTAATTAATTAATTTTTATACTTTCAAACCAAAGAATTAAAAACATAAGTTTTGTAATTTGATATTTATATTTGTATAAATTTTATATTATATTAATTAAACAGTTTTTTTAATTATTATAAATATACCATAATATTTCAAACACAAAATTTAATAAATTTATAAATTAGAAGAAATTTAATAAGTTTTACTATTTTAAAATTTATGAATATTTTGAATTTTTTAAAAAAAATTATACTATATTAATGTTTTTTATAATTTAAAAGTAGTTAAATGTCTCTTAAACAAACTTTTTTATAAAATGTTTGTATAAAAAATTTCTTTAATAATAAAGATTTTCAAAAAGTTTTATTAAAAAAAATTTTCAAAAAAACATAAACACATTCTGATCTATTTTTATTACTTAATTAACAAATATATAAAAGCAAATAAATTAAGTATTTCATTTATTTAATGAATTTATTTAATATATTTTTAATTCTAATATATAATAATTTATAAAATTTGTTTAGATCTGTTGTATTAAACTTAACATTAGCAAATTTATCTTTAAATAATATATAAAAATAACATTACTTTCTAATTATTTTAAATAGTATAATTATATAATATCTACTAAAACTCAACTATTTTTACAAAATTCAATAACTATACAATTACTTTTTTCTTAATTATAACTTAAATACTTATAAAACTCATTTTTTATTAAATAATTAATTAATATTAATATTATTAATTCTTTAAATAATGATCAAAATTCTATACATTCTGTTTTAAAATTATTAATAACAACTTATTTATTATATAAAACCTTAATTTATAATATTCTTTCTTATATATTATTCTAAACTGTATTTATTGTCAAACTTCTGAAGATATATTATATCTTCTTATATGTTCTAAACAAAAATAACTTTTAACAAATTCTCTAAGTTTTAATTTTAAATATTATTCAATGATTAAATATCTCTTTTGAACTTATAGATAAAATCTATATTATCTTGTTATAATAATTAAATACTCTACTATATTTTTATTTTCTTAATTTTATTTAAGACCTTTTTTCTATATCTCAATATAATAATGTTAAAATATTACTTTATAAAACATTATTTTTCTTTATAACTCTTTTAAATGCTTTTTTTAATTAGTTTCATCAATATATATAACTATTATACAACATTCTTTAACAATAATAGAAAAAAGCTTACAACATAACTAACAAATCTAAATATTCAAAAATATATTTCTTAGATCTATCTTCTTAATCTAACTCTAATATTACTAATATACTTATTATAAATCTAACTACTGTTAACTTTTTCTAAACTAATATGCATAGTAAATAGATTCTATATTAGTTTTAAGAGATTATCAGATTTGAAAATATTATATAATAAGAGCCAACTAATCAAATTACAAAATAAAATATAATTGCAGTTTTAGATTAGTAGTTTTATTAAAACTTTTTATTTACTAAAAGTCTAAATATAAATAAAATAAATTGCATTTAAAACTAAAACTAGTCTAATTTAGAATTAAATTATTTAGAATAAAAATTTTACAAATTGTTTGACAGGCTGATGTTTTCAAGTTGATTAAATTGTATTTTAGATATATTTTAGTATAATTAAAAAAAAAATTACAAAATTCTTATTTAGAACCCTAATTCTAATTTCAATTTTAATACAACTTATATGCTTTAACTTAAAGTTCATGCTAAATCAAAATGATTATAATCTTACTAATATCTAATATTATTGTTCTAACAGATGCTTCTTACTTATGCTTATTACTTCTCACTTTAATAGATATATCTAATCTAATCTTACTTATGCTTACTGCCTCTTATCCTAATAGATGCTTTTAATCTAATTCTATTAATATATAATATACTTATTATAACCTAATTCTACTTATACTTAATCCTAATTATAACAGATGTTTTTAATTTGCTTTTGCTAAAGCATATTATCTTTTTTAATTATATATTATTAATATCTACTATTCTTATTCAAACAGATGCTATAATTTAATTCTAAAAAAACTAATACACTATATGTTTAAAAAAAGATTTCAACTTTATATCAATATTGGTAAGTATTATTATAACTAAATATTAATATATATATTATATAAAATTAAAAAATACAACTTTTTCTTTTTCTAACAATTTATACAAGCATACTTTTAAGATCAGATTTTTACTTTAAAGTAGAGGTTCAATCAAAATAAATCTGTTATTTATATATCTATATCTGAATTTATCTGAATATCTATTTACTATTAGTATTTAGATAATTTAACAAATATTTAGATAATTATATTATTTGAGTATTAATAGTAAAATGAATATCTGAATAAATTTTTTTTTTTGTTTATACTAAGGTTGTAGTTATCAGCAGCTATTGTCTTTATTGTATTTTAATTATAATTATATAACTTGTACAAAGTAAGTATATAGCTAGCTATATATACAACTTTTGACTGTCTATTTTAAGTAGTTCACCTATATAGCAGATTCCACACTAGCTGCCATATCTGCAATCCACTAGAAGATTACTTATTTAAATACTCTGATCCCTATACTTATATTAACAAATAGCATACAAGTTTTTATACATCTAAGTGCTGTCTAACCTAACTGTAACTTTTCTTTCTGTATATCTGTTAAGCTATTACATATTTCAGAGTATGTTACCTAACTGTAAGGTTCCAGAAGGCCCTTCTGCTAACTAACTAATATATTTAATCTTTTTTTGCTAATAGGACTTGCTCTTGTAGAGTTTACTTAGACCTTAGCATCAACTTTATAGCATATTCCTAGTACTTATAATATACTCTTGCTTTTGACCTTAGACTTCTAATCCAGATAGCCCAGTAGAACTATGCCCTGTTTCTAGTATCTCAAGGTCTGCTTTCCAAGGTTTTTTTTCTTTAGTTCAAGATTTCTAGTGACCTGATTATTGGTATCTCTTATCTAAGATTCTTTTCTGCCTAATTTCTTTCATATTAGTATCTGTTTCCTAGATCTAGCCTTTATAGTAATACTGTTGAAAATCCGTGCTACCTTTTTACTTGAGTCTTCCTAAATAGGCTCTGGTTTTTTAGTTTATAGATTTATACAGCTATGAGAACTTATCTTAGATTTGCACTACCTAATGCCAGTTTGCATTTCTCTGTATAACTCCAATATTGTGCAGATGTTCTATAACCTACCAATTATGCTGATATGACCATATTACAGATATCTGATCCCAACTAATTGACAGAATGCTGTTGCTGTAATATTATCTACCTCTCATAATACTGATATAATATAGATAGTTTTTCAAATTTTTAATATTAGTAGGCTTTAAACTTCCAACCTACTACTTGAAAGGTTAACAACTTATTCACTTTACTAAGTTATCACATTCTCAATATCTGAATAAATTCAGATTTGAATATTCAATAAATAATAAATAAACAAATAATAAATAGGAACTTTACTTTAAAGCTTACATTTTAGTTATAAAAATTAACTAGTATTATATACTTATATATTATATCATTATTAAAATTTTAAGAATTGAGACTAGCATTGCTTGAATGTATATTAAAGTTATGATGCAAATTTTCTGAACTACAAAGAAAATTTAACCAAATGTTGCTTTATCAAAAATTATTTATTTCTCAAAAATTAGTATAAAAAACATTTTAATACTTTAACAAAAAGTTTTGTTTAGCAATTTTACTATTTTATTATATAAATCACTTCACTCTAATTTTTAACTATAAACCTAACCTTAATATAAATAAGCTTTAAAATTTTTTTGCTACACTATGAGCCCAATATATATTCAAGTAATGCTTAAGTTTAAATGTTATGCAATAATTCAAAAGCTTGCAACACCAGAATTTTTTTAACACAATTATGCATTTATATGAATGCAATTTTAATTAACCTTAATTTAGCATGCTGTTTTTAGATTGTAAAACAATAAGCTAATAAATCACACTATTAGAATTATGTTATTAAAACTATACTACTAAAATAAAACTTATATAAAGATCTTGTAATAATTATTTATAATTCTGAAAATGTGATAAAAAACCTAATACTAACCTAAAAGATAAAGTAATTAAAAAAAAAAGTAATAAATAAAATTCTAAATAAAACATATAATATATTAGTATTAAATTTATGAAAACAATAAGATTAAATGCTTTAGAATAAAAAAGAAAAACTTTTATCATAATGCCAAAAATAATAAATTGCTATAACTAGTAATTAAAAAATAGCTTCAAATAAAAAATCATATTCAAATAATTAATAAATATTGTAAATTAATAATAACAAAAAAAATTATATTAATAAAATTCAGTTTAATAAAATTATTTTGTCTTTAATGTTTGTTACAATTAGTATTAA